ATGTGGAGAAGCTTGAGAGAGTCCAGAGAAGAGCCATGCGCATGATCAGAGGTCAGGAAAACAGACCTTATGATGACAGGCTGAGAGCCATGGCGCTCTTTAGCCTGGAAAAGCACAGGCTCAGGGGTGATCTGATGACCACCTATAAGTTTATCAGGGTTGATGACCAGGATCTGGGGGAACGTTTGTTCACCAGAGCGCCCCAAGGGATGACGAGGTCAAATGGTCATAAACTACTGCAAGACCGTTTCAAGCTGGACATAAGGAAGAATTTCTTTACTGTCTGAGCCCCCAAGGTCTGGAACAGCCTGCCATCAGAGGTGGTTCAAGCACCTACGTTGAACACCTTCAAGAGCAAATTGGATGCTTATCTTGCTGGGATCCTATGACCCCAGGTGACTTCCTGCCCTTTGGGTGGGGGGATGGACTCGATCTTCCGAGGTCCCTTCCAGCCCAAATGTCTATGAAATCTATGAAATTATGACTTAAGGCAATCTCTAGATTTCATATGATTTTATGAAAGGAAGAAACACAGCAGACAGAGAAAAACTAAACGTGTTAGCAGCAAGCGTTCACCAACCTCTTACTGCTATCAAGATTTCACCTCTAGCATGGACAAGGCCTTACAAAAGCAGGGAAGCATGGTTTTAGATTAAATGTAGAAAGCAGCATTTTGGTTTTGAGTTCTTTTTTTGTAAATAGTCCATTCACATATATTAAGGTGCCTTTAATTAAAATAAGGTCTTCAGTGAATATGAATTCAGAAATTATTCACTGCAAGTATTCAGATGGGAAAAATCATCTTCAATATTGTGAACAGGCCAAAGCTGTTCTGGGAAAGGCAAAGGGCTTTCTTTTCCAAGTGACTTTTCTTTAGGGACTCCTAAAGTAATTGGAACATTCTTGGCCTCATTCTGAATCTGCACATTAAAGGAATATCACACAGGAAAGTCTAGAAAAACAGCAGCTCTCCAAGACCCAGACTGTTGTGCCTCTGCTGCAAGTATAAGGTTCCACTGCTGGCCTGCCTGCCTGTGAAATTTTAATGTTCCATTTGTAGTGCAAGAAATCCCTAGTGAAATGTGTTGCTTCCACTAACTAACACCCCTTTGCTACCTCATGAGCTACAAGCTGCAATTTACTGAACACTACTGCATAACACTGCCCCTTATTTAATAATACTGCTAGCCCTGAAGCAAGATTTTCCAAGAACTGCAGTTTTTAATCATTAAGTATCTTAACTCCTCTTAAAAGTATATCTTTACTCACTGTAATTAACTATGTCAAAAGGACCACGTGTTTTACTGTGGAGTTGTAACTTGTTTCAAGGTGCTCCCCACATTAAGGTTTTGTGATTATAAACCTAGGGCTTTGCCAAAGTATTGAGTTTATATATGTTTAATAAAGATGAAAAAAATACACTCTAGCCAACAGTATAAAAGGGCTGCCTTGTAATTAATGGTACTAGAGTTTTTGAATGATGTGTTACATATTACAAAAGCCCTATAAAACATAATAAATGTCCTGAAACATGTTTGGTGCAGGTAAAGCTGATGTTGGATTTTGGCATATCGGTAGACAGTTTTTCTACGTTATAACACCATTACTATTTATGATATTTAGAGTGAATCTTTACTTTGACACCCTGTCTGCCACCACCATTTAGAAATAAATGGAATTCAAAATAAATAGATCTTTTTAAAGATTTACAGCTTAAGCAAGCTGCAGCATACAAATTTATATGGGGGAAATACGGCAGTAGACATTATGCATGGGAACAGGCAGGAACATGTATCTCCCCGGTGATAAACAGCAGCGGAACATATTTCTGCCTGGGATCCTGGGGGCCTCCCAAGGGTGCAGTGGCAGTGATCCAGATGTGCGGAGCCAAGCCAAGCCAGCAGCCAGCGTGGCTCTGGCCAGCAAGACTGGTTTTGGGTGGGGAAGCTGCAGCCACATGCACTGCCCCACTTTTATTTGCTGTGTGGGTTTTTTAGATATCAGGAGTTCCTGATATCTAATTTTGCCTCTGCACTGCAAATATGAAGCATGGAGAACCCTTCCATGTGTGCTGCATGCATTTTGTGGTGCCTCAAAAGCCTCTGAGGTGCTGTAACGTAAATGTGTATGCTAGGCTGGACAGGCTCATCAAATGGGGGAGCAGAGGGAGTTCAGCCTGGGCATTTTTCAGCCCCCCCAGAGGGTGGGATGGATGTATTGCAGCCTCCCAAGGTGGGGTGGGGGCTACAATTCACCCACCCCAACTTTCAACACCAGCTGGGGAGCCCCAAGGATGGCTCCCTCCACTGCCTTCCCCCTCCTCCCATTCTGAAAACAGGAGCACTGGCAGAGAGCCCTGGCCATTGCTGTGGGAACCTGGCTGCAGGCTCCCAGCCTGTAGCTTGATTTCCCTCCCCCTGGACCCAACAAGGAACTTCTGTTTGGCCTCGGGTAAGGTTGTAACTCAGAGTGCTTTGCAAAAATCATTCTGAGTTACAGCTGGGAGCTGCACTTCTGTTTGCACCCCTAACTGCCATTTGTGCCTTTGAAAGTCTCCTACTTTGCCTACTCTGGGGGTCAGGAAAACTTGGTTCAAGGAGTGAGGTATGATTCCACATAGAGGGTCATATGACTCCATTAACTGAGCCTACTTGTACAGGTAAACAGAACAATTTCATATTGTGGCCTGTTTAGAATGATCTTGTCTTACAGGCTCATCTGCAATATCAAGTCTGCTTTCTTACATCAGACAGAGCCACAGATGGAAACGCAGGAGGAAAAATGGTTTATTTCACTACCACCACACAACATCTTAACAATGTGCCCAATTAGGATTATGTTTCAATTCCTTGCCAAGTGGCAGAGTCAAAATTCAAGCGGAATTCTAACAAACTAAGCCAGACTCGAGGATTTTGCCTGGCATTTATTCTTATCCTTTTCAGTTTGCTCAGTTATGCATGAATTGGGGTCATTAGACACTAAAAGATTTTCTTCCCTCAACCCTCAAATGCTTGCTCAGTGAGGGTCACCATGTTTGAAAGGGTCGCCATCACCATTTTCGTGTTTGGCAAATGGCCTGTGAGGCAAAAAGTTCAACTTTGTATCCCAGTTTGTCAACTACAAAAGGAACAAAGGCCATAATTTCCTACTCTCCTTTTCAGAGCTATTTGTTCTAAACATACCTGCAGAGGATTTTAGCTTCTTTTTTATGTTATTGAAACTAGAAAACATGGACAAACTTTGAATGGGTATCATATGAGCAAGAAGAACAAACAAGCAGCAACACACACTACCAGGAATAAGGGTGGGACTGGGTGGAACTTGCAGTCTCCATTACTCTCACTTAAAAAGACTGCTTGAAACTTTCCTGTTCATGCTTGCAGAGGCCAGTTCACCCCAACCTTTTCCCATTATTAGTAATATCTTGGCACCGCCAGCTGAAGAAAAAAAGTCTGAGAAAATGCAAAACACATTCAACTCTCATGGGCAAGTGTGATTTTAATTATACCCTGCCTGTCTCTTATGGTTTATTGTTTCTGGCAGGGAAGGTAGCACAGAAGGAGCAGCAGCTTTGCAGAAAGACAAACCAATGATTCCTCCCAGTCTGTATTATCAACTTAACATTCAAAACAAGATTTGAATGATCAATACTTTCTCTCCATCCCCTGAGTACAGATTTCTGTTGGGTTTTGCACCGTGGCCTATGAAGGATAAAACTGCTTGTAGCAGACATGTTGAAAAATACTTTAGATTCCTTCTCCTAGTTTTGAGTGGCTTGGGGCTGCACACTTTTAATACAATTTACTTAGAATAACCAGTTGGCTGAAAGTTACTATCAAATTTCAATTTCTTGCTCATCCTGTTCCTTTCTGCATCCAGAGCTCCCTTTTTTGCTATTAAGTAACAAATAAAAAAAACATAAGGCACTCTCCCCTGGATCTGTGATGTACTAATCGAAGTTACAAGGAGGCTCACATGCCAGTGGCAGACTTTCAGTAAGGCTGAGCAAGGCAATTTTGTAACTTAATCTGCACACAAGAAAGACATGGGTTTAATCTCAATACAATTGCTGTACTCTGCCATTCCCTCATCTCAGTGTACCCCAAGAATCAATTCCTGGAGGAAAGATGGAGTTAGTTTTGAACATAACCCTTTCCTCTCCAAAACAACAGGCAGAACAGGGAAGCGGAAAGAAGAGAGAGCAGATCCAGAAATCCCTTGGCTTGCCTATTGTAAGGAGGGAAAGGAGTGCAACTTCCAAATCTTATGCTTGGCTGTCTCCCATGAATCTATCCACACAACTGCCTACCAAGGACATGCGTAGGAAGATGTTGCTAACTGTAAAAGAGTAAACTTTTAGAAACACTGAGACTAGTAAACATGCTATTCTATACAATATTATCCTATTATATACTGCCCTGTTATATACAGTACAGTAGGTGCAAGCAGAAATTCTTTTGTGACAGTTACAACCCCAAACACTGTCATACTATGCTAAAAGCATAAGACATGTGAAGCTGGTGTTGATGAGAAGGTAGCACCACAGTTCTCGATGTTCCTCAACTTGAGGCACCCCTTGTTAGTCTCAAGGCCCCTTGGGGAAATGCCAGCTTCGTTTTCACTCATTTTTTTTTTTGACCACAGGAAAAATAGTAGAGCATGTCTTCTGTTGCAAAGAACTCCGAAACCAGGTCAGAACAGGTTTGACACCCTGCTTGGTGGGTTTATTTCACAGGCTGCGGAACGGGGTGGGCCATGGCCCGACCAACTGTTATGCCGTTAAAAAAAACAGCTATACAGTTTTAACCGGAATGACAATTGCGCATTTGTGGGTTATATAAATGAAAGTGCTAAAAGTTGGCCTGGCCATGGCCCAGACGGCCCACCCCGTTCTGCGGCCTATGGTTTATTTTGTGAATCCCGTGTGCCCACCTAGCTGCCCAGGGGTACCCTGGCCAGGATCTTGGGGCCTCACAGGATCCAAGCTGAGCATCACTGAAGTCACGTGGGCAGAAAAAGTGTGCCGGAGCGGCCCCTTACCAGCAAAGAGGAGAGGAAAGGGAGAACCAACGCGCAGGGGTCAATGTGAAGGGGGGAGTTCAGGCCCAGGCCAAAGCAGCAAGAGCAGGGACCCGACTGCGGCCCCCCCCAACAACCCCAGGGCTGCCCCAGGAGGTGCAGCCTGGGGGCCCCTTGAGCAGCAGGGAGGCCTGGAGGCGGCTGGGGGCGCCCCCGAGCGGAGCCCCTCCTCAGCTGAGCCCGCTTACCTCGGGGCGCGGAGGGACGCAGCCAGCACTGCCACCGCCCGGGCAGG